AAAAAATAAGGACCTATACAGGTTGGTTATTTCGTTTTTCCTGTTATCGGATCTAATGATGGAAAAATAAATAAATAGGGCAGCTTGCGGTGTAACACTCAAGTCATATAAACATGAAAGTAGAATAAAAGTCAACGAAACAAAATTATGAATACTAAATAGCGAACAAATACAGATTAATAGAGACATTACGCACGTTGCGCTGACGTCAGAGTTGTAGACCACACAATCAACTCGTCTTGGACACACCTTCTTTTCGTCCAATCACACGAGAAGCACGTGGCCTGTCTGCCCTCGCCGCGCGATAAGACGTGTTTTCCATTCAGTTCGATAGAATCGTAAACATTTGCGCTCTAGATATAGGGCTTAGCGGTCCATTTATAACACCTAATCTACTACAGTCAGTTCTCAAAACAAACCAGGGTTAGAGCTGCCTGGGCTCTTTCTGAAGCCAATACATTTTGAAGACGAAATACGCGAAGACGTTGAGAGTTTTTACATTCGATTGATTTTGTGGGACTCCCTATCATCAATACCTTGAAGTGATTGAGAATATATTTCTGATTTTGACGATTATTAAGCCCAAATATCTGTTGATAAAATCCACCGTTTCCAGACTATCGCCCAAGCTGTTATAATGGAAACCTGTCGAAGGAATGTCGATCTGAACGGGTAAGTTACTATTTCGTTACTGATTATTCATTTCTGTTGATTAGCCGGTATTCGTGTACGGAACCTAACGATAATTAAACCTCTTGTTATCCTGGCTAAATCTGTTTTATACTTTTCTTCCAAGAGACTTCCAAGTTACAGCTGCTTTCTTTTTAAGTATTTGTATAATTTCTCGTTCTTCGAGGAATACGTGCAATATATTCAGAACTAATTTGCAATTGAACCAATTATGAACTCTCATTATTATGACAATTATTTGCTTAAATGGTTTTTATGACAATATCATTTAAGGTAAATGTAACCTTTTGCCTCATGCCCAATAATGTTATCAATCCGATATAGATAAATTAACGCCGTGTAAAGGTGACCTTGCTCTCAGCGTCTGCTCAGCGTTCAGTAGGTTGACGTTTTCAACATGACCCAGACGGCGGGTTTCTGAACTTGATAACAAACGCATTGCATTTTATAACATTATCTAAGAACTTTTTAGTATGTTTAATATTCTTCTTAAGAATTCTTTAAACTATCAACAGGGGACTGGTTAAAAAAATGAAAATAAAAACTTAATCATTAAATAAAGAAGAGACATGGCTTCCAGATAGCAGTATAATTAATGTTCTTAACAATGAAGCCATTACCAAAATGTCTGGTATATTTCAGCAAGGAACAGGTGTATCACTACTACTGATACTAAATCATGAACATAAACATTGCAGATTTATTTTAATGTGATGAAACTTTTGTCAAAACATGGACAAGAGGGGATTCATTAGGAATATATGAAAATTGTTTTGTATAAAGAAAATTTGGAGCTAGGACCCATATCATTCATGCCAGGGCCAAGTAAGTTTAAAGCAGAGGTCAGATGCCCTGCACTGACAATTAAGATGTCACACTGTGGGTTCCTGAATAGCTAACTTACAGAGATGCTCAAGTTTGTAAAGCTCATTTGTTGGGCAGTTGAATTTAGGCTTTACAGTTTGTCCTGTGACCAGAAATGAACTTTCCTGAAACTGGACCATATAATGCACTTGATCTAATATAAACTGATTTTAATGAACATTAAATTCAATTCACCTCCCATTAGGCTGTCAGATGGAATCATCTGTGAACCACATTTGGGCATCGGGCAGTTTCCTTCCAATTTATATTAGTTTAACTCTTTTTCCATCCAGCACATGAAGATGGGCTCACTGTGAAAATGATGAGTCAAGTTTTTATAAATTAAATCATTCAGATATTTGACTGAAAGAAAATTTATTCTCAAGTGCTACCAGGGCTGAAAAAAAAAGTAATTAATTGATGGATTAATTAATTATTATTTTTTTTTTAGGGGGGGGGGAGGAGGTTCTTCATCCTTGATAACACCAAGTATAGGCCCAATGACATATTCATAGCAAGGCTTTGAAGCCTTGGAGTACATTTTAAGGGTAGTGGAGGTGACATAAGTGCAAACCACTCAGTGAAACAAATTTTGATTCAGTTACTTTTCCCTTAATGACAATTTTATCAAGATTTATTTTGTGAGTTCTTAATTAACACATGTATTCAGGCTAAAGCACCTGTCATTGTCCTGTGTCCAGCTGTGATGACCACAATATTGTTCCCGAATTCACTTCCCTCTCATCCCATGATAGACTGCCCTACTGCCTTGTGTGGTAGGAAAATTCCACTTAGTAGGTGTCAGTCACTTCACAGTTCTAAAAATTTTGTACATTTCTATCACTGAACTAAATGTTCTCTATGGAATATTAAAAAAATATAGGTTTATGTGTAATGATCTGTTCTTTTACACTTTTCATCAAGGATTTGTTTTAAACTTGCAATGATTCATGGCAAAAAGTTCAGCAGGCTCTGGTTAAGGCATGTGCCACTGTTCCAGATCCTGCAAAGCATTTCTGATTTCACTGTTCTAGATGTTGTTGGCAAACATGCAGTTTAGTACATTACAGCAGCTGAGGAATTGTTTTGGTGTGGATTATGATGTGGTTCAGATTAAGAATTGTTTTGATTCCAGGCTTATCTGGGCCTGATGTAATGTATGTTTGTACAAATGGTTTCAAGAGAGTATTATGTAGGTAGTTCAGAATGTTTTGACCTTGTTGATTCAATGGTTAGACACCTTTCAGGGACCATATGTATAAATTCTAGGTTAATGAATTGGGGTAACTTTGGTCTTACAATTTATGGGTCTGGTATTTACAAGTGCCAGTTTGTGAAGTTAAACTTACACAAATGATGGTGATTTTTCTACTATAGCTACTGCAATTTTTTTTTTTTTTTGAAGTGAAATATTTATGGCTCACAGTGTTATCCAGTGTATTAATAGATTAAAACTAACTTCATATACTGCAAAGCCGGTTCTGTCTAACATTTTGTTATGTTTACAAATGTAAGTTACTGTAACTTCTCTCCCTTACACGTAACATTCTTATTCGGGTAAATCCCTGTCTTTTTTAAAGTGGAATGTATGGTTGACAATGTTACCCAGTGTAAAAAGAATATTAATAAATATATTTAATATTTGTAAAGATATTTGATTAAAAGTCAATATCATATTTCTGTTATGTTTGTGAAACTCTCTCTTTATAATAACTCATATGTCCGACAAATTTGCCTGTAATTAAGTAACTGTAACTGATGATGATTTTGAAGTGCATGCTCTCTGTAACCACAACTTAAGTGGCCCAGATACCTGCTACAATGTGTGCTAGCTGCTGCTAGCTTTGAGTTTCCAGAAATCTCTGAAACTTCTTTTGGGTAATTCCATACAAGTGGTGTTCTCTTAAGATTTAGACTTGAGCTGTTCTTATTGCTAGAGGAGGGTAAACAAAAGCTGTTTGGTAAAGTTGGCAGCTCAGTTGGGTATGTAGCAGCCAGTTCTAACAGGTCTGGCAGGCAGGAACTGGTATTTGTGTTCAACTTAAGGGATACAACTATAAGCCATTGACTTGCTATTACAGATTAAATCAAGGATTTAAGTCTGAAGACGTAATGAATTTGCAGCACACCCATCAGGGATTAAAAAAACACCAAAGCTTGGTCTTATCTCTCTCCTCAAAATTTAATTTTTAATAAAAATATTTTGGGAACTGGGTCCCTACTGGTATGTCTGTATAAGCAGGGGAATTATCTTTTTTCTGTCCAATTTGCTTTTTTTAAAACACTGTGTTTTGTTGATATTATTCCAGAGGTATCCATCACCCTAACNGAAAATTAAGCCCAAATATCTGTTGATAAAATCCACCGTTTCCAGACTATCGCTCAAGCTGTTATAATGGAAACCTGTCGAAGGAATGTCGATCTGAACGGGTAAGTTACTATTTCGTTACTGATTATTCATTTCTGTTGATTAGCCGGTATTCGTGTACGGAACCTAACGATAATTAAACCTCTTGTTATCCTGGCTAAATCTGTTTTATACTTTTCTTCCAAGAGACTTCCAAGTTACAGCTGCTTTCTTTTTAAGTATTTGTATAATTTCTCGTTCTTCGAGGAATACGTGCAATATATTCAGAACTAATTTGCAATTGAACCAATTATGAACTCTCATTATTATGACAATTATTTGCTTAAATGGTTTTTATGACAATATCATTTAAGGTTAATGTAACCTTTTGCCTCATGCCCAATAATGTTATCAATCCGATATAGATAAATTAACGCCGAGTAAAGGTGACCTTGCTCTCAGCCTCTGCTCAGCGTTCAGTAGGTTGACGTTTTCAACATGACCCAGACGGCGGGTTTCTGAACTTGATAACAAACGCATTGCATTTTATAACATTATCTAAGAACTTTTTAGTATGTTTAATATTCTTCTTAAGAATTCTTTAAACTATCAACAGGGGACTGATTAAAAAAAAAATGAAAATAAAAACTTAATCATTAAATAAAGAAGAGACATGGCTTCCAGATAGCAGTATAATTAATGTTCTTAACAATGAAGCCATTGCCAAAATGTCTGGTATATTTCAGCAAAGAACAGGTGTATCACTACTACTGATACTAAATCATGAACATAAACATTGCAGATTTATTTTAATGTGATGAAACTTTTGTCAAAACATGGACAAGTGGGGATTCATTAGGAATATATATGAAAATTGTTTTGTATAAATAAAATTTGGAGCTAGGACCCATATCATTCATGCCAGGGCCAAGTAAGTTTAAAGCAGAGGTCAGATGCCCTGCACTGACAATTAAGATGTCACACTGTGGGTTCCTGAATAGCTAACCTATAGAGATGCTCAAGTTTGTAAAGCTCATTTGTTGGGCAGTTGAATTTAGGCTTTACAGTTTTTCCTCTGACCAGAAATGAACTTTCCTGAAACTGGACCATATAATGCACTTGATCTAATATAAACTGATTTTAATGAACATTAAATTCAATTCACCTCCCATTAGGCTGTCAGATGGAATCATCTGTGAACCACATTTGGGCATTGGGCAGTTTCCTTCCAATTTATATTAGTTTTACTCTTTTTCCATCCAGCACATGAAGATGGGCTCACTGTGAAAATGATGAGTCAAGTTTTTATAAATTAAATCATTCAGATATTTGACTGAAAGAAAATTTATTCTCAAGTGATACCAGGGCTGAAAAAAAGTAATTAATTGATGGATTCATTAATTATTATTATTATTATTTTTTTTTTTGGGGGGGGGGAGGTTCTTCATCCTTGATTACACCAAGTATAGGCCCAATGACATATTCATGGCAAGGCTTTGAAGCCTCGGAGTATATTGTAAGGGTAGTGGAGGTGACATAAGTGCAAACTACTGAGTGAAACAAATTTTGATACAGTTACTTTTACCTTAATAACAATTTTATCAAGATTTATTTTGTGAGTTCTTAATTAACACATGTATTCAGGTTAAAGAACCTGTCATTGTCCTGTGTCCAGCTTTGATGACCACAATATTGTTCTTCTGTCCCAGAATTTCCTTTATCCCATGATAAACTGCCCTTCTGCCCTGTGTGGTAGGGAAAATTCCACTTA